GATGTTGTCAAAAAAATGGAAGAGAAACCTCGTCATGTGATATATCGTAGGATTGAGATAATCTTAGGCATTGATTCCACCAGCAGTAATAAAATATTGTAGGACCATATTATGGTTAATACGTTTTTTTCTCGCTGGATGTCACAAAATTTTTCAAACGCTCAATAGGACGCTTGTGTCGTTTAGTCCTTGGAAATGTTTGATAAATACGTTTGAAAAGCTTTAAAAGCCGTTTTTAAAATTGTGACAGTTGACGAATTAAGGATCTATGCATAATTAACCTGAAAATAAACAGCTATCGATTATGGAGGTGTTTTAAGATGAACCAATTCCAACAAAAGTCCCATGCGCTCGGAACACTTTGAAACTTACGGTCGCCTATTTTTTCGAAATATCCGATTATATGACAGAAACGTCACTAGAGAAATTTAGAATGGTTAATTCTTAATAGTAAACAGCCACTTTTTTCCAAAAGTCTTCAGTTTAATAAGGGAAACTAACCAGCATAGTCGAATCGCCATTCGTGACGAAAATGTGAGCTTTTACACGTCTCGTCAAACAATTGACTATTTGAACACTCAAAATATGAAATAAACAGGTCCAACGCTACAAAATTCTTGCTTGGAATCTAAACACTTCTTTTGGTACCTATATATTAAAATTAAATGCGTGAACAGCGATTTATGTAGCCAGAAGTAACTGTCGGTGCGGTCAAAAACCATGCTTTGGAGGTGCCTCAAGCTGAGTGGAAAAAATGCTATGAAGTGTTTCGGACACATTAAAAAGTACATAAATCATGAAAGACAATACCAATAAACGCAATCAATACCATTTTAATAATAAACTACTTTGTTTTCATAGTTAGGCTCACAACTTAAATAGTGTCCCACGTATGAAATCAAATTGAGCTATTTACGAAAACATTGCTGATATTGGTTCAGCCAACAACCGAATAGTAAAGAGTTAAAAAAGTTAGTTTATAATTATGGTATCCTGTTATGGACGTTTTTAGGACGGCATTGAGTTGGTATTCGATTGCTTGTTGTGTCTATTAACAAAACAAACAACTCGATAGTAAATAATAACAAAGGAGAAAACACGAACGAAATGGAAAGTAGGTATGAAACTTCATCCAGTGTCTCGGATATTGGGGTAGTAAAGATTTTATGAGTTTACGCTCTACATACCGCTTCAGGTTTGGCGTGTGCTGTATAGTATTAGAATTTATCAAAATTACATTTACTTTTCTAGCGTAAACTAAAGTAGCTATAGTATAGACGCTACCTTTAATTTTTCTACTCCTACTAGGTGGACTGACGATCTGGTAAAGGTCGCGGGAAGAACTCGGATGCGGGCAGCGCAGGACCGTTCATTATGGAAAACGATAGCAATTTAAAGTTACTTTATTTATATTGGTTTTCACTTGTGCTGTGGCACCACTCGTGTCCACCTTAATTTTCTAATGGAAAGCTATCTTACGGTCCATGTGGACTCCGTCTATTTCCGGAATAAGGAAAAGGCGTAAAATTAAATATCGCTTGGAGATACTACGGAAAGAAGCTTTCTTGAGTTATTTTCAGAATATCAATAGAATCCGTAATTTTATGAAAAATATAGCACAATTCTTGTGGTACAAAAGTAAGTCGCGAGTATTTCAAGATTCTACCACCCTATCTTCCACTACCAGACAGTTTTATCTTTAGGTATATTACCACCTTTATTACTAAAAGTTACTGGGTTCTTTCGAAAAAATATGATATAACTGACGTGTACATAACATCACAACATTGAGTAGGGACAATAGAAACGCAATTCACTCGAATAATGTATAGCGAGGCGAGGGTAGCCTTCGGTGCTGACCGATTTGCTTGCCAAAAGTATCTAGTATCAGAGAATAATGTACTACTTGGTCTAGTAATTATTCTTCCTAGACTTATTCTCAAGGTAATGCTCCCGTTTTCTGTTTTGTTTCATTAATCACCATCATTGTTGTTTTTTTGATAAAATTGAGTCTAAAGGAAGATGGATGTACTTGTAAAGTACTGAGTATTTTGCAAATAATGCATAGGTACCTGGAATGCTTAATAATTCATAAGGCGTAGTAAGTGAGCATTAAATATCAGTGAAAGAATTATACAAATCGGACCACTGTTACAAGAGATTACTCCTTACAAACGAAATCCTTCCTCTTAACTAAGTGAAAATCGTGTCAAAATCTCTACTTACTTAGTTTCTTTCTAAGTTCTAAAGATAGACAGACAATACGGCAGACAGACGCGTCCAGTCACTCATTTATATAAGAAGGTTAGATACAAAAGCCTCGTGGAGGTCTCGGGCAACGATCATCTATAGAAATGTATGTACAGTATCAGTTATTATTGACTGAGAGTTCGAATATTGATTCCCAATTAACTTTTTGATTAAGGGCAATCACTTCAATCAGATTTCAAGTGATTCGAGAAATGAGTGGAGCCAGCGTCTTAATGTTTCTTAATTGAGTGCAATTAGTATGTACAGTATGTGACAGTTTATAAGGGTAGTTGGAAAACTTGCAATGCAATTTCTGAAAAATAGTTGTTGCAAATATTCTTTCGTGGCTAGCGTCCATTTTAGCCATTGGATATCAATATTATGTTTTTTTTTATACTGATTTTGTTGTACGAAGATAATGTTCAATCAAATAAGAGAAAACAAGTTCTCCTTTCTAGCTCGAATTTTGATTGAACAAGTAGGAATAGAATTCAATTTGGCGACCCTTCTGAAAGGAGTGGTCCCATGTTCCTGATAGGCTATTCTACCATGTAATGCAAATACATTATTAATGTATGGTAATCCTTCGCGACTCGATCCGTATTTGTCTGTTCTGTATATTAACTACTTATGTGTTGCAAAATAGCAGACTGCCAAGAATAAATACAATTTTTACTGTATTTGTTACCATTATAACACTGTCCACTGAATACATGATATACATTATGTTCCGAATCATTTTACATGTTTGTTACTGAAGCTGTAGCTTAAATTAAAACGATTTGTACCTGCCTATAAAATATTATATTTTATTTTTTAAATTGCTTTCTGGTTAGTCTCATTCTATTTAATTATTAAAACTATGCATTAAATTAATTTAATTGAAGTACTTTATAGGAAGTAGTAGTGTGTAGCCCAAATAACGTTCTAGAATAAGAAAAAAAAAGTAAAGTAAAAAAAAAAAAAAAGTAAAAAAGTATTTATTACTAAAAGATGTCACATTGTACAAATTATTCTGGCGGTCTCTGCACTAAGCAGGAAAGCTTGTATCGCAGCGGCCAATACGAACAATTACCTTAAAAATAATGACATCGGTCTTAATAGGACGGACATGTTTAAACTGGTTTAAACTAGTTAACAAGTTAGGCTTAACATTTATAAAGTGTTAAAATATAGTTTATATATAAAACTGTTCTAAACAAAGAGAAGTTATTTATTATGTTATGAACTTTAATTACACTTCTTTCAATAGTTTTTAGTGATTATTAAATTGAATTTTCAGTCATCTACATGGGAATATAATGTTAACAGTTTAACCAGCACAGGGAAACATATTTATATATAGACCTACCTACAAAATAGGGAGGTAGGTATTGTGTCACAGATGTAAAGTAATGAATGAAACATGCAGTTCAGTTTTCTGCTGAAAAACGTCTTTTTACCAAATATAAATGAATATATTTTAACAACGGCTTTATTTAGTCGCCTGATTCATATTTTAAGGACATTAAGAAATTACTGGTGTGGTGTTTTGTCCACAGCTTATTTCAGCAAATGGGCCATGTCCTGTGCTGTATAATGCAGTCTGCCCACGTAGAAATAAAGTGATACGGAACTGTAGCTATTATGTATTCAGTTTAGGGGTTAAATGAGATGCATAGCACTTTAATACTAAGTATTAAGAGGATGAGTTCAAGATGCAAGTACATTCTGAAGGGGAATTGAAAATAGATTCTGAAAGTTCATTATTTCGTGAAAACTATTTTCTGCTTAGATTTCTGGGAATACAAAGTATTTGTAAATAAATAGACTATTGTGCGTTAAATTCTAATTTATATAGTTGCGGCAAATAGAGGTAGTTTATTAAATAGCTATTGTATTAAAAGAAATGTTTTACCTTTCACCTTTTTACAACTGGTTTGAAAACCAACTATGTATAAGCGATATAGCAATAGGTATGTGTGCGTTATCTAGTAAGTATTATGAATTTATTATATTCAGGGGTGGTCATTGAGGGTGGTGCAATAAAGATTTGAGTTAAATACCCACAAATGCAGTAAGGGCTGAGAAAAATTTAATATTGCATTATATCGTACTGAAATTAAGGAAAATATTGTTTGGTTTAATGAAATTGTCTGAAACTGCCCAACAAGAGTTAAATGATTAGCACTGCGGAGGCGTGTAGGGTCGCGGTCACAAACATGTTTTGGCCCAAGACACGCGTAGGCGGTTTCAGGCACTCGCTCAGCAATTCAATTGAACGCACCAATTGACTGTAAAAAGTGTTGCTTTAAATGATGCAATCATTACAATACTAATTACGCATACGAACTTCAGCCGCTTCGGAACTGCTCAAGGAAAATACTTTTCCGTTAAGTGACGTCAACAATACTCGGGGAAATAATGAATAAACTGTAACAACTCTTCAGGCCGATTTGGCTGACCGAGACAACTTTTGATTGAGGTCACGCGTTTTGCACACGAGGTGAGATTCTTTGAAAGTAGAGAAAATCATACAAACACTGTAAATAACTCGAGGAGAATTAAAATTATGATGAAAACGAGTTTCATTTTATGTGAACACGTTCTAATTCTCAGCGCAGTTTACGTCCACTTTCAAACTGAATTATCGCAAAGCATTCGTTTCAAGTACGACCCGATCCACAAGAATCGTAAAAACAAACACATAAAAAATAAATAAAATTCGCCAATAGGTAAAACAAATGAAGATAAACAAAAAAGAAACTCACCTTAAACACCGCCGGGGCTAACGGTATCGCAGCTTGATTGTGAAGATGTTTTTTCGACATTTTCGCTCCTTATCTGCTCCACGTCTATTGAAAATTTGTCGAAATCGTCACAAAGAAAAAAAACTAGGTAAATATCTCTAAAAATTTAGAAAACAATTCCAAACAAAATTATTCTGAAAGCGAGTTGCGCTCCGCAAATCGCCGTCTAAAATTGCAGTTAAAAACTTTTTCGGCGTGCGAAAAGATGTTTCGGTGACCGCGTTCAATCGTGAACGTTTCGTTGTGTTCGAGAGGTTGACTGAGTTGTGTTTTTATAGTGTTTTTTGGTGAAAAAAAAGTTGGCGATTTAAATTAGGAAGACGCGTTGCCAAGAGTACGTCGCTCCACGGTTGCGGTCAAGTCGGCAATGAGCGGGTGGGGCGAGCGCGTTCACGAGTTTCACGACATCGGAGCGCGCGGAGTCGGGCCGGTGTGGTGCGGCGTCCGCTGTATGGCGCGCGCCGTGACGTGGGCTTGGAACCGAATCGGCGGCGGCGAGACGCGTGGCGCCGCCACAGCGCCGCGGTGCTCCTACGCCAAGGGACGCCCTAAATCACTTTCGAACACCACTTCGTAGACCATACATCACCAGGACTATTGACATAACTTTTGGCTACCGTAAATTAGGCTTTGACTTTTCAAGGTTCAGGACTCATCAAATTGGTAAATCAGGGGCGATGAGCTAAGTTTATTCAGCTTAACTGTCAAGTTTATTCAGTAAATCTATCTAGAACCGATTTCCAAACATACTTAGGTAAATAATACCTAATTATTACTAGTTATGAGTAGCTGAGTGGACTTTGCCCAATGAGTTTTTAATTTTCCGCTTTTTGTCATGGTTTCAAAACTTTTCATAACTTTGATGGCCCCACACGCAAGAACTTGATGATACTCGTAGTTCTTCGTATGAAAAACAAATTAACCCGTACCAATATTAGGTATCTTAAAAGCAAACCCTACATTTAGAAAAAACAATTCGGGATATTAAAAAATAATGTTTTATTAACTTTAGTACAAAATGTTCATCGATAAACAGACCTTAAGTAATCGAAGTTTGGCTACAATTCTAGTAAAATAGCCTTTCTAATTATGAGAACTTCTAATACCGTTTTTAGAGACAAATCTTTTATCTCGCTCGGACATTCCAAGAATCGGTCGTCATGAATATTGACATGCTCTTCGTGTGACTCGTGACGACACTGTAATGTACAAATACAGACAATGTGACATACCTACCTAGGTATGTAGGTAGATACTTTCATTGCAAATAAAGAGAATATTTTTGATATTACTTTTCAGATGAATAAGATGCATCGTTTCTGATATGACTTATCACTGAGGATCGAATGATTAATAACTTACACAATTTTATCTCGCTTCATAGCTTTTAGTCATCGCAAATTACCAAGAACAAAAATCAGATCAACGAAAATAATATACTGAAAAAGATCCATTTATCTGTAAAAATATTTCTTCAGCCTTATCTACGAATTGTTTCAGAAAACTGTATCAACCTTTTTCTTTTTTCTTTAGACGCCTGCAAAATAAAGCGACTCTATAACAGCGGTTAAAACTCAATGATGAATTTAAATAAAAATAGTTTAAATTTAGCAGACGCAGTTTTATTGCAGAGAGATTACCACAGACAACAAGATGGCGACATAGAGCGTTTTGTCTATTAACTAGAGACGTAACTACATACTAGTGTAGATCTGCTGAATCGGTAAATAGGGTTCAATATTAATAAATACAACACTCTCACCTAATTTGAACCCTTGTTCTTAAAACATAACTACTTTAAAATCAATACAAATAACATTTTGCATCTAAAGTAAACTTAAAGACATATTAATAGCTCTCACCAAAAATTAACAGTTTTAGTAATGTGCAAGTTTCATAATACCAATTTTACTTCTAAGATACTGAAACTTGTCTCTAGGTAAAGCTTTAGTGAATACATCAGCAAATTGCTCCTTAGTACAAACATAATTGAGATCAATTTGTTTCTCTACATATTTCTCCTTTATAAAATTATATTTGACATCGATGTGTTTACAACGCTTATGGTAATCAATATTTTTGATTAAACAAATTGCACTTTGGTTATCTATATTCAAACAAATTGAATCCTGATTGAATTTGTGGTTGTGATCAGATCTCTTAGCAATCCAACACGGCGTGTCAAACCGTTATCATCGAACGCTTTGGCGAGGTTATTCCATACCTCTCTTGCAGTTTTGGCCTCTTGAATATGTACATAGTTGATAGGATGTACAAGTAAAATTATTTTCGATTTGGCCTTCGTGTCAAGTCTGGAATCAACAGGCTCCTTCGCCGTTATACAGCACCAAAGTTCCTCATGTTCGAGATATGTTTGGACTGCGAATTTCCAAGTGGGATAATTATCTCGTCCTGTCAGCTTTTCGATTAACGCCATTGTATTATTTGACGACATTTTTGCTGAATTTTAAAGATGGAACCACGTGAAAATTTTTTGCAATATTTTTGCGTATTTCTCAATTTACTAACTGTTAAACTATTTGTTTTATTCTACTGTTCACTTTTATGCAAAAATCAGGTGGCCTGGGCCCATAACCTGATGAATTTAAATAAAAATAGTTTAAATTTAGCAGACGCAGTTTTATTGCAGAGAGATTACCACAGACAACAAGATGGCGACATAGAGCGTTTTGTCTATTAACTAGAGACGTAACTACATACTAGTGTAGATCTGCTGAATCGGTAAATAGGGTTCAATATTAATAAATACAACACTCAATTATCCATGATTGTATCAATATGTAGCATAAAACAAATTAACAACTTATTTTAGGCGTTAGATCATCAGCCAACTGCTGTATACTTATGTCTCCCCCATAATTATTAACTATGATTTTTGACTACTTCAATGTACCTACTTAGTGCTTTTCAGATAATGTTCGTTCATGCCTATGGTTTCCAATCTCCATGTTTTCTTTGACTTTTCCAAACTTCATGAGACTTGGAAGCTCTTCCCATCTTGAACCCCTTGAATCCCAGGAAAACTTCAATTCAAAAGAATCCTATCTTGCTAGCTCAACGAAGCTATAAATTACCATCGATCCCGTGCCTACATGTTGAGCATACAACATAATCATCACGACAAAACACGTGCAGTGTTCTTTGCCAAAAATGATGACGTCTGCGTGCCATAGGAAAACTTAAACAGCACTGGGAAACTGAAAGTGAGAAAATGCCATCTATTTTGGCTGCCTTAAGATGTGATGGATGAAGGGAATCTATTAAAAATTCGTTCTTCTACTTCATTTGGAGTCAAGTCACTCCTTCCTTTGTAGTCTCTAAAAGACATCTCGATCTACACACAAGATAGAGTATCAAAATAAATCAAGAGTACATCTATTAGATACGTAGATAGTAAAGGCACAGTATATATATGAGCTAATTATCTACTGTGGTAAAGGGGTAGGGTAGGTAAGTCTGATCAAACAAGGAAATATCTAACAGTGACCATAATTACTTATACATTCACTGCTTGCTGCTGTCTTTCCCGAATAGCTACTGCTTATAATCCGGGCCTCTTCAAGACGAGAGCGAATAGGTACTAACAGGGCAGCTTGTACCATCCTAGACTGCATCTCAGTTAACATCAGGTGTGATGCAGTCAAATAAAAAATATATTTGTAAGAAACTGAGTTACACGCTCGCTCACCAAAAGCTACATTGAGTACCTACACTACCTACTTAATTATGTAGTTACACGACAAGCAGCAAAGATGCTGAACAAAACCGTTATTAAAGACAAGAAAACCCGGTCCAAAGTAATAGGGTCACATTGGGGTCTAACGATGATGATGGGGTGCCGAGAATGAGGGAGAGACTGGAAGGAAGTTGTAAGGAAGCGGGTTTTGATGATTTGTTCCATGAAAACCGGTCTAGCAGGAAGGGGAAGGGGCAAAAGAATTTTGATCTGGGAGTTTATCCATCCAATTCGAGGACGGTCATGCGACTCTCAGATCTAATTACAAAACGAGGTTCAAACTCTAAATTATTTTGTCTTAGAAAAGTAGGTACAGTCAAATCAAAAAATATTTATTCAATTTTGACCAGTATTTTGGCATTAATGTGTAGTAGGTAGTAGCGTAATTTTAAGGTGTTTAAAGGTCCTGTGGCATAGATTGCTACTTTAATTATATTACCAGCATTCACGGTTCACGTGATTTTGTATTGATTGTGTGATGCTATCGGCGATGATGAAGATAGATAACGCGTAAATTACAATGTTAGATAAGCTGATATAAAAATACAGTACTTTATCGATAAAAACGTGCTTTTTTCCAGTTACAAATAGTACCACTTCTGGTGCTTTTAAAAACGTAACGCTATAGTTACGGTTAAAGTTACGGTGATGCAACTTAACACAACACTTATGTTTATAGCCCCAAAAGTAGAGAAAAGTCTGTAGTAGTCCGGTAGGTGTTAAATTAAAGATAATCATACTTTACTTATGTTGCAACAAGACGTGTATTCAATATTTACCAAATTAGGATCTATGTAGGATAACCACCGTATTTTAACGCTATATTTCTGTATCTCCAAAGAGTCTGCGACTAAGGCGCCACTTCTAATGGAAACGTAATGGGCGTCTTCCGCGAAAATGTGAGTACTGCTTGCGATATGGTGATTAGACAAGAATTTACACGACTAGATAGGTACAGACATCATAGCAAGCTCAACACTGGACTCCTCCTCCTTATGCCTCTGAACTTAGGTGCTGTTTTCCGACAAAAATGGATAACCTGATGTGCTGTTGACTGTATCTGCTTACTAGCAAACGTGTCATTAACGGCCCATGCGCAGTTAGCTGATAATCTGACGCCGATTTTAAATAAGAGGGAAAATGCTTACCTCACGTTTTCACAATTTTAGGCTAATTACGAACTTTATTAGTACCTAGTAGAAGCGTTATAAGTTGTTAACTCTACGGATAGTCCGTCAGTGATCGTTAAATTTGTATTGTGAAGCTTTTTATGGACACTGTCTGATTTAACCACACAATACCTAGATGCCTGACTTATATGAATGTCTGAATGTGCTGTTGATTGAGCGTAATATGTACTGTACAGAGTAAGTAATAAAGACGCTATGGCAAAGGATTGCTAGAAATCAAGCACATTTAAGTGGTAGGTAATCGACTGATGGATTCATTCGTCTTTGCGAATGAACAATTTAATTCAAGCTGGTTATATCCTAACCAAACCAGGAACAACTCCCAAGAATGTGACCGATTTCGTACTTAGTAGTCGACAACCATTCAGACCTTTGAAGACCTACATATCTTGCGTCCAGCTGGGCTAGGGTGGTAATCATATCGTTGATTTTAGACGACAATTAGGCTTATCATGTAAAATCGATAAAAGCTTATGGCGGCGC